TGCTCCTTGCGTCTTCCTGGGGTTCCCCCCTTACGCGCCTGGGTGGCAGTTCTACCACCCCACCTCTCGCCGTGTTCTGTCCTCCCAGGACGTCACGTTCGACGAGTCGGTCCCCTACTACCGCCTCTTCCCCTACCGCACTCCGTCCCTCCCCCCGCCCCCGCTCTTCCTTGTACCAGGTCCCCCCCTGGTAGACCCCCTCCCCCCTCAGGGTCGTGCCCCTTCAGGTGTGTCCCAGGTAGACGCACTCGAGCCTGTCGAGGTCATTGGTGACTCTGGTGCTGCTGGGGGTGCTGGGCTTGGGGGTGCAGAGCCTAGGGGTGCTGAGCCTTGGGGTGCTGAGCCTGGGGGTGCTACGCCTGGGGGTGCTGAGCCTGGGGGTGCTGAGCCTGGGAGTGCTGAGCCTGGGGGTGCTACGCCTAGGGGTGCTTTGCCTGGGGGTGCTGGGCCTGGGGGTGCGGAGCCTGGAGGTGCTTCGCCTGAAGGTTCTCCGGGTGCTTCGTCTCACCGGGAGCCTCTCTCTCCACAGGAGCTGCGCAAGTGGTTTGCCCGGCGCTGGAGCCGTGCTGCAGGTGCAGGAGGTTCTTCGGCTACTGAGGGTGCTGCTGTCGCTGGTCCTGGAGGTGCTCGTACTGGGAGTACTGGAGCTGCTGGGCCTGAAGGTTCGACTGGAGTTGGTGCTGCTGAGGGTGTTGGCGCTGAGACTACCACTGGCGGTCCTGCTGGGGGTGGTTTTGGTGCTGCTGGAGGTTTTGGAGCTGCTGGAGGTGCTGCTGGAGCGGGTGCTCCTGCTGGGGGTACTGGTGCTGTCCCTGCTGTTTCTGGCGTCGCCACGCGGCCTCGACCGTACTTCGTTCCACTCCTGCAGCAGGTTCTTGGTCTTCCACCTTCTACTGGTCCTCCTCCTCCCTTAGAGTGTCCACAGCCTGTCCCGTCACAGTCACAGCTACAGCCTGCCTCCCCTTTGCCTGCTCCTTCTCCCTACGCTGGTCCTACTGGAGGTCTTACTGAGCGTCGTGAGCCTGCGTCTCGCCCTGCGTAGCTTGTCCGTCCTACTCGCGCTAGTGGTCGTGGTTTGCGTCCGCGTCCTCCTCCTGTCCCTGGCACACATAGGATGTCTCTGCGTCCGTCTACTGCTCCTCTGCGTGCCCCTTTGCCTTCTCCTCCTGAGTCCTCTCTTCTTGCTCTTGCCGACTCGGAGTCGGACTCTCTTCGTGCTGCCAGTCCTACTGTCACGCGTCTCCTTGCTACTGTCGTCACTGACCCTTCTTTCGAGTCTGCTGCTGCGTCTGCCCTCGTTGCTGAGCTCGTCGACTTTGCTGCTCACTGTCGCTTAGACTACGCTGCTAGCCTTGTCGCTGAGTCTGAGTCTGTCTGTCCTCCGTCCGTCGGGGGTGACTGTGCCCTTGGCACGGACGTCCTTGAGGACAGGCAGGAGGAGTTCTAGTGTCTGGCAGCTGCTTCACCTCATCTCGTGTCCGTACTGCTTGCCCCTGAGGGAGACCCGGATGCGCTTGTCATCCCGACTCCGCGCTCTTACGCGGAGGCGGTAGAGGGTCCCTACTCCTCTCAGTGGCAGGCAGCTATGGATGCAGAGATGGCTTCCTGGAAGTCCACAGGCACCTACGTTGACGCTGTCCCCCCTCCTGGGGCGAACATCGTCAGTGGCATGTGGATCTTCAGGGTGAAGCGGCCGCCGGGTTCTCCGCCTGTCTTCAAGGCGCGTTACGTGGCTCGTGGCTTCAGTCAGCGACAGGGAGTTGACTACTTTCAGACCTTCACCCCTACCCCAAAGATGACCACTCTTCGGGTACTGCTGCACGTTGCTGCTCACCGTGACTACGAGCTGCACTCTCTCGACTTCAGCACAGCTTTCTTGCAGGGCAGCCTGCACGAGGAGATCTGGCTGCGTCGCCCACCTGGCTTCACTGGGTCTTTCCCTCCTGGTACCCAGTGGAGTCTCCGGCGTCCAGTCTACGGTCTCCGCCAGGCACCACGTGAGTGGCACGACACACTGAGGACTACACTTGCGGCTCTTGGGTTTGCTCCTTCTATTGCCGGCCCGTCGCTGTTTCTGCGCACCGACACCTCTCGGCCGCCGTTCTACATCCTCGTGTACGTCAACGACTTGGTCTTTGCCAGAGCTGACACTGCTGGACTCGCCTACGTGAAGTCCGAGCTGCAAAAGAGACACACGTGCACTGACCTGGGTGAACTACGCAGCTACCTTGGCTTGCAGATCACCCGGGACAGAGCACGCCGCACCATTACCCTGACTCAGTCACACATGGTGCAGCAGGTCCTTCAGCGCTTTGGCTTCACGTACTCCTCGCCTCAGGCCACTCCTCTGCCTACTCGCCACTCACTCTCAGCTCTGCCTTCGGATGAGTCCGTAGAGTCGAGTGGCCCATATCCAGAGCTTGTTGGCTGCCTCATGTACCTGATGACCTGCACACGACCTGACCTTGCATACCCTCTTAGCATTCTTGCACGCTATGTTGCTCCTGGGAGACACCGAGCAGAGCACATGGCTGCAGCGAAGAGGGTGTTGCGCTACTTGTGCAGAACGTCGGGCATGGGGCTAGTGCTTGGAGGGCGGAGTCCAGTGGTCCTCACTGGGCACGCAGACGCTTCTTGGGCTGACGACCAGGCTACGCAGCGGTCGTCACAGGGTTACACCTTCAGCCTCGGTTCCGACTCTGTTTCGTGGCGGGCTACTCGCTCGTCTTCTGTTCTCGGCTCCAGTTGTGAGGCTGAGATCTACGCCTGGGCCATGGCTGCACAGGAGCTTCACTGGCTCACCTACCTGCTGACCGACCTTGGAGAGCCGCCTCGTTCTCCTCCAGTCCTGTACGTAGACAACAAGGCCATGCTGGCCTTGTGTCGAGAGCAGCGACTGGAGCACAGAACAAAGCACATTGCTCTCCGCTACTTCCTTGCTCGTGAGCTACAGCAGCAAGGACAGTTGCGGCTTGCGTACGTGGCCTCTGAGGCCAACGCTGCTGATGTCTTGACCAAGGCACTTGCGCCTTGTGATCATCAGCGCTTCTGCACTCAGCTGGGTCTTGTGCCTGTCTTGCCTCACTTGCTCTCCTCTTGACCTTGCTTGTACTGTGACATATATATATATACGTGCTCTTGCTTGTCTAGCTTTATATATATGTGTGTACTCTTGCATGTGAACTGGCCTTGTGCCCTGGACCTTATGCTCGGACTGTGTGGTGACTTTGAGATCCACCCTGAGCTTGCCTTGCTTTGCTTTGCTTGACTGGTCGTCTGACCCCTTGTTCTCCCCCACTTTGCCTATGGGGGTGTGTCAGAACATTATATAGGTTATACATTTGTGTAGGCTATAGTGGGGTATCCCATTGGGGGTACAACCCAAGTAGGGTTGGTACTTGTACTCACTTCATTCATAGTTAATTCATTCTCGTTTCTTCTGACTCTGTGTGGTGGTTGACCCGTGACCTCGCTACTGGCCAACTTGGCCAATCGTATTGGTTGGTCACATCGTGTGCAAGAACGTCTCTGTTTTCTTTACCTGAGGCAAAGTCGATTGGTTAGAATCCAACCTCCTCCCCCCTCCCCACGCTGCAGCTTGCTTTTAGCACGCCCTTTCATTCCACCTCTATCCTCTTCGAGCTGTTCTTCTTTCTCGTCAACCAACACCTAGTCGAGCATGGCGTAACTTTTAGGTTAACGTAGGCGTTTTTTTTTTCTTCCTCTTCTTCCCGTTCTTCCTACATGGCGCGATGTTCGTTGAAGCTTTCTGTGGCAAAGCCGTTCCTGGTTATGAGGTATGCTCGTTGCGCCCTACCGTTTTATGTGACTTGGGATATTTTTCAGTAGGACGTAGTTTTCTAGCCTACGATCTACGTTTCTTTTTTGTGCAGGTTCATGTCACTACCAGCCAATGTCGGTTGACTTCACTTCATTCTAGTGTGGAGATGTGTCTGTCTTTTGGCCAGTGTTTCGTTTTGATGCTTGTTTTTTTCGAGCATCGACACTCCCCTGCCTTGGATGTGGACAGGTTAACTTCAATCACTTAGTATGTTCCAGCGTGAGTAAGGCTTGCTGTGTCAACTTCTGTGCCTGTGTTCTGCAGTTTCACATGTCTCTGTTTTATCACAGTTTTCTTTGGTGCTGCAGGAGTCGACTCTGTTAGCACAGTAGTGCAATGTAGTTATATTATATGGGTACAGGATAGTGGCTATTGCACGTGGGTGATTACTGTCAGCAACAGTTTTCAAGCTAGTATTTGGTGCAGATCATGAACGTAGCTAAAGCAATGTAACATGTTGCCTGTTTAAAATGATTGTTATTGAGCATCATTCACGGATCATACTGGAATGCAAAATCCGGCTTACAGTTGAAAGTATCAAATGTATTTCTGCTCTGCTGGAAAGGCCAAATTGAATTAATTTGGAACCACGGTAGGCGCACTCCACAAATTTATTATATCAGGCGACATTTTAATAAGCACAATTGAACAGTACAGTATATTAAGCGTTACGCAGTGTAACCGGGTGTTAGAAGCTACTGGTTACAATTACGAAACGGGTTACGGCAATATCGACGCCCAGTCGCGACACCTGGGTGCAAGGTCGTCAACGACTGTACGCGGCATTGATCTACCATTTACAGATGGAAACCGGGGTCCCTGTAAATCGCGAGTAGCCCACCCCAGTTTACGTGGCACACAATTATCCAACGCGAATTGCCGTACATAGCTATGCACGACCATGCTTGTCAGTTGGGCAAGTGCTACAATGGTACCCCCAATTGGTCGTTTACGAAGCTCTACGTGGGGCCCGGTAAGTGAACCACAATTGGCTGAACGCCAATCCATTTACGGGGCACTTGGCAAACAGCCATCAGCGCAGGTAAACAACGCCTAGATCACCCTAAACAGCCGAAAGCAGAGCCTGATTTTTTGCGATGCCCCTCCCTCTCCTAATCCCCTCTTCCCCTCCTCCCCGCCCCCCAATCGCTTACCCGTATCATCCCTGCAATTCCCATTGCTCATCTGTAGCCGCGGCCACTCGCGCCAGCTTGCGCAGCCCCATGCGGTCTGCGCAAGCTGGCATGCGGTCGCATGGTGCTGCGCATGCAGTCCTCACACACCTGGCGGGCGGAGGAGAGGTGCGCAAGGGATAGGGGAGAGGGACAAAGGGGGATGCTTCGAGATGTCTCAAACAACTGCACCATGCGACCTGCTGGCAGACAGTTGGTGCAAACCTGGTGGGCGGAGGACAGGGACACGGGGGGGGAGGAACGGGTGTGGAGGGGAGAGAAAGGGCGAGGGTGTTTCAAGATATTGCAGGACATGCTTCTGCAGAACCATTCAGTGTGCTACCATGTGGTGCTCACACCTGCAGCACACCAAGCAGATGGGGGTCATAGATGGGAAGGGCAGGGATGTTTTGAGACGTTTCAGCACCGGCTTGTACCATGCGGTACGCAGGCACGCATCCTCGCACACCTGCAGGGGGAACAAGAAGAGGTGGGGGAATGGGGAGAAGGGGAGGGGGAAGAGGGGGAAATGGCGGGGCTAGAGTGGAGGGGAACAGTGGGGGAAGCTAAGAGTGGGGAATGTCGCATAGTGTGTGCACACCTGATCGATCAATTCCGCACGGTTGGCGGGGGGTGAAGAAGTGAGAGGGGTCGGGAATTGAGCAAAACACGGCTGTTTGCAATCACCATCGTCACTCATTTCTCCTCGCTGCGCAACCCTCACACTTTCATCACCAATCAACCCCCTTCCCCCTCCCCCCTCCCTCCCCTTCACCACTTCTCCCCTCTTCCCTGGTGCAACGCACCTGCTTTTGTTCTCCATGCCTTCCACCACCTCCCCCCCTCTTTCCACCACCTCCCCCCCTCTCTCCCATCTCCCAGCCCTTTCCCAGCCCTCTCCCAGCCTCCCCCACATCTCCCCTCCCCCGCGCCAGACTCTACTCTACCCCCCCCCCCCCCCCCCCCCGCCCGGAAATTTTCTATCGCGCACAACAAGCACAGAATGAGGATGAGGAGAAAAAGCTGGGAGGAACGGGGGCGAAGGCATGGGGAGAGGAGCAGGGAGGGAGAAGACAACCCTCCAACCAGCATCGAAGGAGGTGACAATGGCACCAGAATTCTCAAAAGCGGCAAGTTGACGGCCCTCTTGATCGTCTTTTGATGCCATTCGATTCGCTGCGACGCATGCGATGAATTTCTCGCAATAAACGCGGCGCTACGAATTTTTCTCGGTACTCAAGGAGCAGCTAGCGACGCACGCCGATCCTCGCTCCACTTGCCATCGCCCATAGGAGGCATGAGGGATGATGGTGAGCAAAGTTAGTGCAATTGCTGAGTCAGCTCATACGGTGTCCAAATGACGCAACAGTGGCGCTCCTTTTGACACTATTCCTCGAGATTATGACAGAGCAGTTACAGAAGGGAAGAAGAAGCAATTATGGCCATCAGAGGACCATTAGGTCAAGTAACTCCCTCATACCCATCTGGCAGCATGTGGATGAGAGCATGTGCGCAGACAGTGGGATGAAAGCTAACAGACTTACTTAACCGTAACAGACTGATATTAACAGACTTAGGAAAACCAAAAGATTCACTTGTGCTCGTCTGACAGCATGTGGATGAGTCGGTGATTTTCTCCTTGGGCAGCTTCACAGATCGGGACATGTCTTGCTGCCTGGTAAAGGTCAGGGAGAGATCTGACAGCTTGACAGCAGCGTGGGTGTAGACCATCGCTGTTGCTCCAATCACCTGTGGACACGTGTGCAGATGATGGGATGAGGGGGAAGAGAAAGAGGAGGGGGGAGGTGAAAGGAATGAGGTTTGGAAAGAACACGATTGGAAAAGTGAGGTTTGGAGAGGAGTGCAACACGCGAGGTTGTTGAGACACCCTCCACTCATACAACCATTAGCAGCGTTCGAGACTAGTAGCCGCATCAGAAACCAGTAGGCACGCCAGATCTCTGTCGCACATCCCACAAATCATGCTACCAGGCTTTTGGCAGGCATGCAGTGCATGAGCCCTGGAAACAGCACGAGGTGCTGGTGCTTCTCTCAGACAGAGGGAGAGGGCGTGACCAAGTGTGCAGAGACTGTGCTTGGCTCATGGATCGGATCAAGTGCATGCTCTCGACCCATGAGCCTGTCCGATCCAGAGACTGCAGAGACTGTGCTTCTCACCTCATCCATGTCAGCGGGTGGCAGCATGTGCTTGATCCGATCCATGAGCCCCTCAAACAGCACACGCTTCTGCTTCTTCTCTGCCAGCGAGGCTGCCACGCTGGCGTGGATCTGCACGGCTGGCAGGTGCAGTGCAGGAAGTTGTTCACCTCCAGACCCAGATCGAACTCGCTCCCCCAGCAACCCTCTCCCCCAGCAACCCTCTCCCCCAGCAACCCTCTCCCCCAGCAACCCTCGCCCCCAGCAACCCTCTCCCCCAGCAACCCTCTCCCCCAGCAACCCTCTCCCCCAGCAACCCTCTCCCCCAGCAACCCTCGCCCCCAGCAACCCTCGCCCCCAGCAACCCTCTCCCCCAGCAACCCTCTCCCCCAGCAACCCTCTCCCCCAGCAACCCTCGCCCCCAGCAACCCTCTCCCCCAGCAACCCTCTCCCCAAGCAACCCTCTCCGCCAGCAACTCTGTCACTTCAACGCGCCGCCTGTCAGTGGGGAAGAAGGGTGGCCAAGTGGGGAAAGGAATGTTGCACATCAGCTGGATGTTTGCACGGCTGGCAGGGATAGTTGACCACCTCCAGCGCCGGGGCAATCTCGCACTCCACCAGGAATTCTGTCACTCCACTCGATCCGCTGTCTCTCTAATCTCACACTCCACCTCTCATAACACCCTCCAAACAGCCACACAGGTTGCTCGCTTCCAGCGCCTATGTTGGAAAAAACGCGTTTCGCGTTTTGTACGCTTTCTGTATAAACGCTAGAGTTTATACGCAGTACGCTGGCCGGAGGGGGTCTGGTACACACAGAAAAACGCTTGCCCGGGCAGCTAAATTCTTCTCCCGGGCAGGTTAAGATGCTAGGTCAAGAGACGGGAACGGGAGCTGCTGTAGTAGGTTATCGTCGCAAGTGAAATTAGAAGGGGATCGAAGGGAAAAACGACCTGACATTGAGCGGGGAGGATGAGTCTGGTTGAAGTTGGCAACAAAATTGGAAGGCATTGGTAATCGATGTGGTTGGAATGGGTTGTTGAGCGGTTGATAGGAGGGGACGATTCACCAAACGGTTTCGAAATTCAGATCTGAGGTTGCATTTGCAATTCGCGATCTCAAATCTGAATTCCGATACTCGCGAACACAACTGATTTTTTTTCCCGGTCAGCCCGAGAGAAATTTGGCGAATTTTAGAAAAATACGCAGCGTACGAATTTTAGATGCGTATAACTCAATACGCAACGTCAAACTTGCGTTTTTTCCAACTTAGTCCAGCGCTTCAGGTTGCCTGGAGCTTGTTGGAAATCGTTCACGCTCCACCAGGAACTGGTCACCCCAACCAACGCCACGGCTGTCGCTGGGGAGAGCGGCAGGGCCAGCCCAAGCAAGAGCGAAGGCATTACACATAATCTCTCCTTTTCCCACACAAACTATCTTCCAAAGAACCACTCACTTGCTGGTCCGGCCGTCACTGGGAGCACCGAACAGCGCCACACTCCACGATGACTTCCTGGCAGCCTCCAACAGAAAGGGGGCGGGGGAGAGGAAAGTGGCCAAGGGGGGAGGAGAAGGGCGGGGATAAGAAGAGGGGGCGAGGGGAAGGAGACCGGGGGGGGGGGGGGGGGGGGGGGGGGGAGAGTGGGGAGGAGGGAGAAGGCGGGGAGGAGGGGAGGAGAGTAGGCAGAGGAAACGTAGAGAGAGAGAGGGTGGCAGGAAGGAGAGTGGGCAAGGGAAAAGAAAGGGGGCGAGGGGAAGAAAGGGCTGGATGAAGCATGAGTTTGCACATGAATGATTGGGAGTGGGCGAGCTGAGAAAGGAGAAAGGCGAACAGAAAAGGGTGAAAACTGAAGGATCATGAGGGATCGGAATGGTCACAGAAAAAGTGGAAGAGCGACGGAGAGGGAAAGGAGAGCAGAAAAAGAGAGGAGGGGGAGAAGAGGTAAGGGGAGGGCGAGCGATGAAGACAAGAGGGCGGAATGAGGTCATAGGAGGAAAAGCCGCCAGAAAGGAGGGAGCGGAAACCAACCAGGTAGGTAAAGCATGGCAGGCAGGCAGGCAGGCAAAGCAGTCAGAGCATGGCAGAACAGGGCATGAAAAATTTGAGCCTCCAGCAGGGAAAACACCTGAAAGATGTGCCACTACTAGCACATCACCCCCGCCTCAACGCCTCACCCCCGCCTCAACGCCTCACCCCCACCTCAACGCCTCACCTCGAGCACGGTGGGGGAGGCTAGTCCAGTGCCTTGCACGCTCCCTGGGGAGAACAGGAGGATGCAATTGGGAGGCGAGAGAGAAGGCACAGGTTGAATGAGGGAGGGAGAGGGAGGGAGGAAGGGATGGATGGAGGGAGGGAGGGAGATAGGGAGGGAGGGAGGGGGGAATGGAGGGAAGGAGGGATGGTGGGATGGAGGGAGGGAGGGAGGGAGGGAGGGAGGGAGGGAGGGAGGGAGGGAGGGAGGGAGGGAGGGAGGGAGGGAGGGAGGGAGGGAGGAAGGGAGGGATGGAAAGAGGAAGAGAGGAGCATGGGATTAGTTTTTTTGGCCATGAGCGAAAGTCAAAAGCTTGTGTTATTGTGATTTGAACTGAGCAAAAGACAAACTAAAGCGGGAGAGAGAGGAGAGGAGGGAGGAATGGAAGGAGGGAGGGAGGGAGGGAGGGAGGGAGGGAGGGAGGGAGGGAGGGAGGAAGGGAGGGAGGGATGGAAAGAGGAAGAGAGGAGCATGGGATTAGTTTTTTTGGCCATGAGCGAAAGTCAAAAGCTTGTGTTATTGTGATTCGAACTGAGCAAAAGACAAACTAAAGCGGGAGAGAGAGGAGAGGAGGGAGGAACGGAAGGAGGAACGGAGGGAGGGAGGGAGGGAGGGAGGGAGGGAGGGAGGGAGGGAGGGAGGGAGGGAGGGAGGGAGGGAGGGAGGGAGGGAGGGAGGGAGGGAGGGAGGGAGGGAGGGAGGCAGGGAGGGAGAGAGGGAAGGAGGGAGGGAGGGAGGGAGGGAGGGAGGGAGGGAGGGAGGGAGGGAGGGAGCGAGGGAGGGAGGGAGGGGGGAAGGGAGGGAGGGAGGGAGGCGGGAGGGAGGAACGAGAAGAGGGAGTAAAGAAGGGAGGAAAGAAGGGAGGAAAGGAGGGATAGGGAGAGGGAGGGAGAGAAACTAGCTCTCAGCTTCTGCAGAAAAAAAAAGGCATGTGGTTGCTTAGGACGCGTCACAATTGAAACACCGATCTTGCGCAGGATCGGTGTTTCGCGGCTACAGCTCATTCGCGACGTCGTTAATTTCTGGTTATCTGTTTTTGTCTTTTGTCGCCAATGTATAGTAGTCCCCTCGGAGTCGGGCGATCGATGTGCCCTTGCCACACATCGATCGTGCAATTTCCTCCACATCGGGCAATTTTGCCCCATGATTTTTTGATCGTGTCACTTGGAACTTGCGGCGGGCCCGCGATTGCAAAAATTCAGTCGTGGCACACCGATGTGGCGATCGATTTGGCAGGATCGGTGAACAAGCCCGATCCTTCCTCGGTATTTTAATTGTGACGCGTCCTTATGTAACGCCGGAAGAGTGTCGAGGAGACAGGCAAGAATAATGCATACATATAGCGAATAAGCTGGCTGGGATGGATTGTAATGCAGGGTAGGAGTGAGTGCCTGAGTGGATGTAAGCAGCAAGAGTGAGAAGCATCTCCTCTGTGACCTCATAGTGCACCCTTGCTGCCATGTGTGTCTGACCGACCAGATTTAAGCAGCGAGGGGCGAGCACGGCAAGGCAAGGGAGGGGATGCTACGGCAAAACAAGGGGATCCTTGGGGGGACCGGGAGGGGCAAGGCAAGAGGGTCCTTGGGAGGGACGGGGAGGGGCAAGCCTGCAAGCCAGGGGAAGGGAAATGCAAGGGAGGATGAAATTGGCAGTCGGGAGACCTGGAATGGGTGGAACAGAGGAGATCAAGGGAGGGAGGTATGAGCATATCTTCTGCAGCTTACGGCAAAAAAAAGAGACGTTTGGTTGTTCTTATGCAAGGCGAAACCCCAACTGCCATGCAGGGGACCCTTCACTGCCCTCCCACTTTCACTGCCTCTTTTGCTCATTCTGCTGGCATCCCATGACATCCAATGACATCCCATCTCATCCCATCTCATCCCATCCCATATCATTCCATACCATCCCATCCCATCCGATCTCATCCCATCCCATCCCATACCACCCCATACCATCCGATATCATCCCATCCCATCCCATACGATATCATCCCATCCCATCCCATCCCATACGATATCATCCCATCCCATCCCATCCCATACCATCCCATATCATCCCATCCCATCCCATCCCATCCCATCCCATCCCATCCCATCCCATCCCATCCCATCCCATCCCATCCCATCCCATCCCATCCCATACCATCCCATCCCATCCCATCCAATCCCATCCATTCCCATCCAATCCATTCCCATCCCATCCCATCCCATCCCATCCCATCCCATCCCATCCCATCCCATCCCATCCCATCCCATCCCATCCATTCCCATCCCATCCCATCCCATCCCATCCAATCCCATCCGTTCACATCCCATCCATTCCCATCCCATCCATTCCCATCCCATCCATTCCCATCCCATCCATTCCCATCCCGTATCCCATCACCGTCCAACTCTCCCGTCCCATTCCACCCCTCCCATTTGCTCCCCTCCCTTCCCACCCAACTCTGTACACCACGCACCTGACTGTCAGACCCGCTGCGTCCAGCTGGGCTGACCGGAAACACATCCCCCAAGCCAAGAGGCATGTCCACCACCAGCACGTAGCCACCCCCACTCTGTCCGCCACGTCAGCAGGCACGAGGAAGCCCACGGACATGCAGAGCATGCATGCAGCGGCAGCATGCGCGCATGGGTTGAGGAAGAGGGCAAGCAGGGGGCGGCTGGAAGTCTCTAGGTCCAGTCCAGTGAGCAGGGGCCGGCCGGCGATGTGCAGGGCGAGCAGGTGGGGCAGTGAGGGGCCGAACACGCCGCCGTCCAGCAGCGTTACTTGCCAGGCGCATGTGGCGAGGGCCACTGCAGGTTCACTGTGACGGAAGAGGGCTGGCGGGGAGGGGAGGGGAAGATGGGAATGGGGGGTGGAAGGATGGAGGGAATGTGGGATGGGGGGATGGGGGGAATGCGGGGATGAGGGAACATTGGCATGCGACTAGAGGCATGCAGGGAGAGGTGGGGGGTGAGGGGCACAGGAGAAGAGGCATCCAGGGGGAGGAACGGAGTGATAGGGATGGGGGTGAGTGGCATATATGTAAATGGAAAGAGGCAAGGGTGATTAGAGCGGCGTATGAGAACCGTTGGACATGCAGTGAACGGGAGGGGGATGGGGAAGTGGAAGGGAAGGGGGGACGGGGAGGGTGACGGGTTAGAGGAAGGGAAGGTGAGTGGGGAGGGGGAACGGGAGGGGTGTGGGGAAGGGGATAGGCAGGTGACGAAGGTGGATGGGGAGGGAGGTCCAGATTGGGACCAGCGTGCGCGTGCCATTCGCGGGAAGGTGACTGCCAGGCCACCCAGCCATGCGTGTAACGCCACCCAGCCATGCGTGTAACGCCACCCAGCCATGCGTGTAACGCCACCCAGCCATGCGTGTTACGCCACCCAGCCATATGTCACCTCAGCAGGACACCTCTCGCAGATCGCACCTGCTCGGCTACCTGCTGGTGGCGAAGGCTAGGGGCCGTCTGGTCGGCAGGAAAGATGATGAAATGGCCGCCCGGACCCACTGCCTGCGCGTGTAGTGCCCAACTTTCAGCAACTCTCCGTAGCCTGTGAGAGGGTGACATGTAGCATGAGGGGGGATGGAGGGGGGAGAAATGACAAAGGGGGTTAAGGGGGGGGCTGGGGGGGGAAGAAAGGGGGTAAAGGGGGAGGAAAAGAGGGGGGCTGGAGGAGAGAAGGGAGTATAGATTTCTTGCAAGGGGTACACAATGAATGGATATCTGAAACAAGCATAGGAGGATAAGGAGCAAACATTGGCGAGGATCCGGGGGAACATGCACGGGAGAAGAGCAGGTAGGGAGAAGACGATTCTCCCACCCGCGCTGAAGGCGACGATGAGGAAGGCAATGTTTGATCGCCGTTTGACCCACCATCGCCATCGCCAAATGCTCGTGCAGTCCGACGCCTGCGATGCTCGCGACGTTGCCTCGTGACTTGCTACGACTTTCTCGGCACTCGCTGAGCAGCTACTGAGCCCGTGACGCCGCTCGCTCGACTTGCCGCCGCCAATCCGTAGCATTAAGGATGTCGGCCAGCAGTATTAGCGCTATTACTGATTCAACTCATACGGAATCCAGATGACTGGGCAAAAAACCACGTTTTGAGATCGTTATTTGAGAATACTACATCATAGGGCCAGTTACGGAAGAAAGGCCGATAAAGGAATCATGGCCATAGAGGCCCATTTTGCTCGGGGCAGAGAGAAATTGGCTGGAAGCTGCGGGAGGGAGGGAGGGAAATAAGAGTATCCGCCGTTTCTTTCTATGATGCGCCGTGCCAATTGCGCACTTGTGCTTCTTGCGACAGCGGCGGCGTCGTCGCACAAAGGAGATTGTGCGATGGTGAGGAGGAGGAAAATGATGGGGCGGGGGAGGACATGCGAAAGCGGAGTTTAGACCACGTTCTGACATCACGCGCTAGTGCCATATTGCCGATTTTCAAGTAAACTCAGAATTCGCACGACTGTGCACTGTCAACTCTTATCATATCGCTAGACCACTTGACAGTTCTAGATCGCGATAAGGTAGGATTGGGTCTGAGAGGCTATACGGGCTCAGCAGCTAGTTTCCTATGTCATCAGGTCGCGAGGTTGCGAACGGGCTGGTCGCATTTTCAAATATGTTAGTACCTCTTCGTATGCTGAAACCGTTAGGGCGCGTGCCTTCTGAATTTCGGGCAGAAGTTCACGTTTTTTAGTCTCAGTTTGACAATGAACACTGGTCGACCTGTAGTCGACTATCTCATACTTTAATTGTCGAGTCGCGTGTTCACCTTTGACGTGGAGCACATGGCCAAGAAATGCTCGACTTCCAAAGTTCGACTTTGTACAGCAAAGTCCGAATCGCGCCTAACTTTCGTAGGTTACCGGGTCTGCACAGTGAGGTTCGTTGGCGGTTCAAACTTCGGTAACCGCTCGCGAGGTGGTTCGTTACCATCGCGAAGCTCGCAGCTTCTTCGTGCGTGGGCAGCAGAAGACACGATTGGAGAAACGTGCTTGGGGAAAATAATATGCGAGGCTGACCCGAGCTCAGTGTCCTGCAGTTTTCTTCAACTCTGAGCTTGGGCACACGATCGTCGTCAACAGCTCTAAACGAAGTTGGCGAAGCTGGTTATCAGCAAAACGTCGACCTTTTAAAAAAAAAATTCCACACCAGAAGATCCACGCCCTTATGTATCATACGCTGTTGTGCTCGTTAGGGTTTCGTCGAGTTCTGTTATTGCGAGAGCCAATGAGGAGGTCGGTGTTCGTCAAACAGGGTCAGCCACTGCCCTGCTTCGTCTGACTTGCAGACAATGCGGGATTTTTGGGTTCGACATGCACTGCTGGCATGCCACGCCACCACAGAAACTCGTCATGTTAGAGTTCGCGAGTGCAGGGTAACTTGACTGTTAGTTCGCATTTGTCGAGATCCACACTCCACTGGTGAATGGGACGTCGCAACTCGCGAATTCGACGCCGTTAGCGATGTTGGCCTGTCGCAGCCAGTAAAAAATTGAGAAGCAATTTGGCAAGAAACTGGACCTCCATTTCACTCGCTCAACTCCCACCCACCTCCCTGCTCCCTTGTACTACCTCATTTTGCTAAGTAACCTACTTCAAGCTAGGAAGTTCCTCAAGTTTGTCGAAGTCTCTTGGCTTAACCGCCTGCAGATATTCACTCGTTTCTATTGACGCTTAAAGTCACTGCTACTCGTTGCTCGCAGCTTCACAAGTGATAAAATCTACAAATTTAGAGTTTCCCAGAAGCTCGCCGCACCTCGATGGCAACGGACGGCGCGGGACGAATCATTCGGCTCGGACTACTCATTTTTCTGACGTGTATCGCCGTGGTTTCTCCAGTCCAATGTGTCCCGCTCGCCGACTCCCAAGGTTCGTCGTAGAAAGAACTTGGCCCCGTTCAGTTGACCGCCGCCGCTCTCAACCTCCACGCCTCCAATCTTCATGTATTTGTTGCCCTTAAAAATTTCATGTGTTATGGAGCCTTGGTAACGGTAGTAGACTGCACCAGCAAGGGTTCCATGGAGGCTCTCACACCACGATGGCACCACGCGGGACGCATTCAACTTTGCTCTGTGATCGTGCCTACGCGCCTCGTCACAGTTTCCCGACTCCGCTCTGTCTTCCGCTACAAAAGTTCTTCTTCGGTTCAATCTCATGCACAATGTTGGTTCCAGCAATGGCGCGAATCGTGCCACGGTGGCGGATTGTCAAGTCAAGTGGCGCTATCGCACGTATCCATCAGATCCATGCTTCTCATCCATAGAATGATGCTTAACAGCTTTATCCGCCAACTTCGAGTTCGGAATTGCAGCAGTGTGCATTTTCCCAACATTTTCCCAACATTTTCTCACCATGAACAATTTTCTCGTGCTTGCCCATCACACCTGTCTGCTCTATTGATGTCTTGTGAAGGGTTTGAAAGAGGGAGGGAAGGCTGTATGAAGTTGATGAGCTGATCAATCTCTTCTTCCCTCCCACCCCCTCCAAAGCAGGGTGTTGTTTCTCCCCATATTTTCTCTCCTGCTCCATTGGGGGAGTTTGATGTGTGGGTAACTTGCTGCCATGGGTGGATGCAGGAATCGCAAGGCGTTGTGGCTCACATACGACCACGAGTACTAGTAGTCGTAGTCTTAGTGGGAAAATACGCTCAGAACTGTTTGCGTTTAGCGTATACACGCTAGCGTTTATACGCAATACGCAAAACGCTAGCGAATACGCTATACGCTAGCCAAATTTTTTTAGGGGCAGCCCGGCCAAAAAAATTCAACCTATACGGTTCGCTTCGGAATTGCACGACGAACACATTGGCGGGGTCAAATGTCACGTCCGCGCTGTGTGCTAGCGTGGACGTGGGTTGAAAGTTTGAGCCGCGAATGGAAAGTCACGTACGTCGAGTCGCGCTTGCACGTTCCCTCACATTTTGGTGGTCACACTCAGTACCGCATTCAAAACCTTCACAACCAATTGCGATTCCAACTTCAGTTGCCCATCTTCCAACTCCCCCAATCTACTCGCTATTAAACACGCACACCCCCAACATCCAACTCATTAGGTCTTCTCCCGCTACCAGCAGAGCACTGGGCATTCCCTAGCGCCTGGTGCCTATGTCGACTACTACCACTTCTCCTCCCACGGCACCGTCAGTTAACACCGTTGGCAGCTCGCAGACTCTTCTAACCGAGGCACGGGAGTATCTCCCCGACGTCGACCATGTCGTCTTCAAGCATTTCCGCATCGTCAAGCGGGTCGAGGGTAAAGCCCAGCAGTACGAGTGCAAGTTCTGCAGCAACCTCTACACCGGTGCTGCCATCCGATGCGCGCAACACTTCGCGCCGTGGAAGGGCATGAAACGCCGTGAAGTGGTGTTGTGCAAGGATGTGCCGCAAGATGTGCGTCGGGCCATGAAAGCGCATTACGAGGCAAAGACTGCTGCGGCCGACGAAAGGAGGCGGGCCGCTGCTGCCGCGGTTGCCGCGGTGACGGCTGACGGTGGGAAGCGCGCGCGAATCACCGATTACCTCGAGGGGGATACGGCTGCACGAAAGCGAGAAGCGGACGAGTCACTTGCGCTTGCTTGGGCCGCCCTCCACATCCCCGAGCGCCACATTGACCATCCTCTGATGGTCAACGCATTGAACAACGTCTCCCGCGCCGGGAAAGACTACGTCCCCCCCAAGCGGAAATACGTCGGCGGTGCGAGCCTTGTAGCGTGTCGCAACGGCATCGAGGCGGGTTTGGTGGGCGTGAAAACGAGCTGGAAGCGGACGGGCGTGACGGTGTCGTCCGACATGATGACGGACCGCAGGGGCAGGCCGCAGGCCAACATTCTTCTCGTCAATGATTCGGGCGCCGTCTTCTACGACTGTGTTGACTGCAACATGGAGAAGAAAACGGGTGGTTACGTGGCGGGGATTCTCAGGCCCGTGGTGGAGGAAGTGGGGCCAGAGAACGTTGTGGCGTTCTGCATGGATGGGGGATCGAACTACGCGGCGGCGGTGAAGCGACTGATTCAGGAGTGGCCGCACATTCAAGACGTGCCGTGCGCCACCCATGTGATGGATCTTCTCCTGGAAGACGTGGGGAAGATGGGGTGGGCTAAGCCGGTGGTCGACAAGGGAGGGGAGATTAGCAGCTTCGTCCGCAACCACCATTGGACCCGCGGGTACCTGCGCACGCCGGAATTGGTGGAGGGGAAGGTTCTGGAAGCGCTGAAGCCTGCTGGAACGAGGTTCGGGACGAACTACATCTCCATCTCCCGGTTGTGTGCGATGCGCGGCAGCCTCACCAACATGGTGACGAGCGAGGGGTGGAAGGAGTGGGCGGTAGGGGACCGGAAGAAATCATGCGACGCGTTTGCTGCGTTGATCCATGATGCCGCCTGGTGGAAGACGGCCGACTTCTTCATTGCCCTCCTGAAGCTGCCCTATAAGGCGATGAGGCAGACGGACGGGCATGCCGTGGGGATGATGGGGAGGATATACGATGTTATGCTTCAGTTGACTGAGGACGTGGGGGACTTACTCGATGCGGACGAGGAGCAGCTGAGCAACGCGGATAAGGACCAGATCCGCAAGATCCTCAGAGACCGCTGGGACGGCAGCCTCGCATGCGCCATGCATGTCGCTGGCCGCATCCTCAACCCCGCCAATCAGGAGGAAGATATCTTCGGCACTGATCTCGAGTGCACGAAGGTCTTCAAGGCGTTCATCAGCCAGTACGCCGAGTTCCTTGCGAGCCGCGGGGATGGGGGGGATGACGCTTGCAGCATCTTGCTTGAGCTGGGGGACGGGTTGAGGGCGTTTCTTGACATGAAGGGTTCTTTTGGGATGCCGGAAGCCGTGGCACAGAGGAAGCTGGTGAAAGAGGGGAAGTATAGCATGGTGAAGTGGTGGCAGTGGAATGGGACCGATGCTCCACGTGTGGCGGGGCTCGCGGTATGGATGCTGTCTCAGCCCGTGTCCGCCTCACCTTGTGAGCGTGGATGGTCATCTTGGGATGTCGTCCACATTGCACGTCGGAACAGGCTCGGATCCGCCAAGTGCAGGGACTTGGTCTATGTTACGCACAACTGGAATGTTGTGCGCAACTGGCACACGCGCGCCAATGTCCTGCCACATGTGGTGGCCGGGATAGGAGTGGAGCCTCCAATCCCGGCGGGATACAATGGGCTGGAAGACGAGGCGAAGGGAGAGGATGAGGAGGAAAGCGACGACGACATCCTCGAAGACGAGTACGCTAAGTAGAGGGGGCATATGTGGCTTGCATTGCAGTGGGCGGCCAGGCCTAAGGAGTAGTACCTAGAGAGTCCAGGATATAAGTGATGGTCGTGATGGTGTAGTGTACCATTGTAGTGATGGTAGTGGTAAGAGAGTTAGAGAGTAGGGGAAAGTTATGTGCAGGCCTTGGTGTATGTGACTTACTCTGAAATTTCAGACCCCAAACCCCTGCCCCATACCCCCCCCCTTCCCAGGGTTTTTTTGACCCTGCCCGGGAAGTTTTTTTTCTGCCCGGAAAAGCGTATTCCCAAACCCGGCCCGAAAGCGTTTAGCGTATATACGAGTGCGTATATAAGATAAGCTTATATACGCAATAAGCTTATATTCCCACTAAGGTCGTAGTCTAATCACTTGCTGTGCCCTATGGAGCTGAGGACTGCTCATTCCCCAATTGTAGGAAAGAGCTTATGATAGCTGGTTTTTCCTTCCTCCGTTTCCTGCCCCACCCCCTCCTTCTGTCCTTCTCTTGCACTCCTGCTTCCCTCTCCCCCACCATCTGCCGCCAGTGCAAGTCCTGCAGGACTTGCAGCAAGCGTGGGGGCGCACATTCCCTGGGTGGGTGGCTGGGGGGGACTGTAGCTGGGCCTCCAATGTGATGTGCGATGCCCAAGGCATGGTGACCCGCATGTGAGAGCACCAACTCTAACTGGTCTTGCATCCCCCATGTGTGCATCAACTCTTGCTCGTCTTGAATTGGGTGCCTCTGTTTTATTTATCGCGTCACCATTCTGTGTGCTCTGTATTTGCAATTACTTGGTGCATTTTATTGATTGAACCTGTGCTGACCATACAATCTCCAGATGCCTCTGTGTGTTTCTTAGTATTTCTCTTGCACTCCCTTTCCTCATGAACCGGTCTTTCCATTGTCCCTCCCTCTTCCAATTTAACTGTCTTCTTTGGTGAGAAAGCCTTTGAAAGTCTTCCCGATGGGTTCACCAAAGAAAGATAGTTAAATTGGAAGAACCGGTCTTGGAAGAGGGAGGGACAATGGACCTCCCTCTTCCAATGTTAAGCCTCATGACCGGTCTTTCCATTGTCCTCCCAATTGGAAGAACCGGTCTTAGACCTCCCAATTGGAAGAGGGAGGGACAATGGAAAGACCGGTTCTTAACAACCCATTGAGAAAGCCTTCCCAATGGGTTCACCAAAGACTGGTTCTTAACAACCCATTGGGAAGGCTTTCAAATACTGGGATGGGTTTCTCTGTGGCAGCGTTCCTGTGCAGGACTACCTGTCTGGACAAGAGTTAATTTGCTCATGCTATTGGTTCAGGATAGGCATGAGCAAAAGGCGGGCCGGGCCGACTCCTTCGGACTGTCAGCCCGAGTCGGGCCGCCACTTTTGTGGTCTTGCTAGGCCAGTTTCTGGCCCAGGCACGACTCAGGTCGCGCATAGCACATCCAACTTTCCTTACAAACACTTAGCTGAGACAGATCCAAAATATTATGGAGGGAGGAGAGAATGCGATGGAGAGAAGAAATCTAGGTATCGGTAGCATTCACGTCCAGCGCCTGGACGAAAGGTGAAAAAAACGACGTTTTCTTTCAAAAATTGGCCCTAAAGTACCGTATAAAAAAAGCACCGAAAAAATTGATACAGAAATATTATAAAGAAGAATAAATTTATTAAAAATGGTGGAAAAAACCATCGTTTTTTTCAGTAAAAACTTGAATTTGTCGTTGTAACATGGGTATAATTTCATAGGTAGAATGAGGGGGCTGTTAGGAGTGTTGCTTATGCACCAAGAGATTAGTCATGAGCATCTGGCCCGACCCGTCCCGACTTGGTCGGGCCAAAGCGGGTTTCCGGGTCGGGTCGGGTCGGGAAGCCCGGGCCAGGATGTTAAATACCTTGACCCGACTTTGAGCTCTAGTTTGTCCCATAAAGCACGCAGCACCCGTCTCGACAGGGCCGGGGGTACAGGGCCGGGTCAGGCCTGACTCGACTTCGGGTCGGGCCTGGGTGGAGAAAGACGCTGGGGGCGTCCAGCGTCCTGCGTCTGGACGCTGCATCCTGACGCAAAGACGCAGGACGCAGGGCGATTTGTTTTTCGTGCGGACCGGATTTTTTTTTTCCTCACCATGATGATGAAAATTTGCAACTCACCATGATGCTCTAGTGTTTTGGGGGAAAGTTTGTCCTTTGGGAGAATTTTTGCAAAGAAAGTGTGCTAAGCCCCCCCCCCACTTCCCTCTGCCCTATAGTTTTTTTTTGGGCTGCCGAGTGGTTTTTTTTTGCCTGCCCAGACCTGCGTCTTTTGCTATGTGTAAAGGGCCAGAAACTAGCGTCCTGCGTCCTGGACGCTGGACGCGTCTTTCTCCTCCCAGGGTCGGGCCAACTCGAGGTTGGTTCGGTTTAGGAAAACCGCTCTCGCCCGCGCGCTGCACAGATCGGCAATTTCGCCCGCTGAAAGCAAGAAATCGACGGTCTCGTTGCGATATCTGTGGATATCGAGATTTTGCCTGTAAATTTCTCAGCCAAGGCGCTCGTTTCCAACAAACGTGTTGGAACAAACATTTCCAACCAATTCGCCACTACTTTGCTTACCACCCTTTACTGCACTGAATCTACAATTCCCCCCCCCCTCCCCCCCCCCCCCCCCCTCCCCTCCCCCCCCCCCCCCCCCCCCCCCCCCCCCCCCCCCCCCCCCCCCCCCCCCCCCCCCCCCCCCCCCCCCCCCCCCTCTCACTCTTTACAAAGCTCGCGACATTAATCCTTTGCACTTAGTCGACTAGTACTTGCCTAGAAACTAGGATTTCTTGGCTGACGGTTAGTTACGTAGCGGGACTGATGTTGAGGGGAAAAATATCCCCTTGATATCGACCTTAGGGTTACCTTGTTTTTGACCCGATTTCTGGTTGTGCCAAAGTCGGCCCAAGGCCCGATCCATCCCGACCTGACTTTCGTTGTTGGGTCGGGTTCTTTGCTCGGGTCGGCCTGAAAGGCCCATTGAAAGGCGTGACCCGACTGGCCTAAATTCTCGGGTCGGGTCGGGCTAACCTGAACCAACCGAGTCTTTTGCTCAAGCCTACAAGAGATTCTGTGCAAGTGTTTTTTTTTTTTTTTTTTTTTACAAGAGCATCTTTGACATTAAAGCTTGAGTATACATTTGTCAGCGGGGTTTAGGGTTTGTATATTGCGCCTCATAGTCTTGGGCCAAACTTGCAAGTTCCTCAGGATTTTGAACCCCTCCTTTCAAATGTATACCGAAGCTTTAAGACGCTCGTTCTTGTCTAACAAAAAAGTGACATTTTTTTTCCTGTACCGTTATTTACCATAAAAAAAACAATCATATAATTCCGCAATCATTTTTTTCCACTTGGCCCCCCCCTTGCCAAAATAGCCATTGAAAGTGTGGAAGGTCACCCCCCTCCCCCTCCCCTCTTAGCTCAAATGCAGTATTTCGTCACCCTTTGAGATAACCGTTACTTTAAAACGGTTAACTAACACCATTACCTAAGTTTGAAAACGAGCTAGGTGAGGTATAAATATATGGCGAGAAGCTAGGGGTGAGCTGAGCTTGCGCTAGAGCTTGCACAAAATGTCGCACAGCTCAAATTTGACTCCCATGACATTTGTCGCGGGGGTCAAGTCCCCGCAAGAACGAGATCTGACGAAATTGACTCAAATTAGAACAAAAACCGTATTTCACCGCACTGAATACAGAATTTCCAACCAGTCTATCAATTCCCAACCCAGGTCGACCAAATCAGGCCGCATTTGTTGGCCTGAGATATAGTCGACAACGTAATAAACTCGACAAGCTTGTAAGTAAAGTTGACGAAGCAAATTGTCACAGGGGAAATAGGCGGGCCAGAACAGCCCGACCCGCCCCCGTGCTCATCCAGGGCCTACAACATTTTATCTGCCTGCCCGAGGGGTTTTTTTGCCCTGCCCGGGCTTGCGTCTTTTGGTGCGTCTTTCTGGTCCTGGTGCTGCGTCCTGCGCCTGGACGCATGCGTCCAGACGCAGGACGCGTCTTTCTCAACATAGGTCCGCGGATAGTTTTTACTTTTCTCACACTTTTACGGCAAGGGTGGGGTCGCGGCAAGGCGGGCGGCAGACAAGGCGATGGTTCTCTATTTCGCAGGGACGCGCACATCGGAGTCTCAGTGCGAGCACACCGCTCTTCCTCAACATGCTGCGAGCCATCAATGCCGCCGGCCTGAACTACGTCTCCCCCAAGCGACACATCGTCGGAGGTGCTAGCCTGTTGGAGTGCAAGCAGCGGATTGAGAAGTCGTTGTCGCCCGCTTCAAAGTCGTGGAAGGAGACGGGCGTGACGATCGCCAGCGACATGATGCAAGATGAGGGCGGCCGCGCGCAGATGAACATCATCTGCATCAACGACAGTGGAGTTGTCTTCATCGAGGCGGTCGACTGCAAGGCGGTGACAAATAGTAGCGTGTTCATCGCCGGCGTCCTGCGACCGATCATCGAGTGCATCGGGGCAGAGCACGTGGCATGCCCCTCCATGTGGCAAGCCGGATCTTGAACCCGGCTAACTAGGAGGAAGGGATCTTTCTGGAAAAAGCGGAGTGCACCAAGGTTATGCAGGAGTGGCCGGAGCGCCAGAAGGCATTCGTCGACACGTACCGGTAGAAGTTTCGTGGCAAGAAGGGACCTGTACGGCTGCTGTATGAGGGGGTGACAGTCTACAGCAATGGCGAAGGAGGATTCGACACGTAGACCGCGATCGAGGGGCGTGAGCAGATTTAGTTGGGGAAGGGAAACGTGATTTTATGGTGGCTAAACAATGGATGGGAGTACGCCGACCTGGCGTGCCTTGCGCGGCAAATGCTGTCCCAGCTTGCTTCAGCTTCCCCGTGCGAGCGGAACTGGTATACGTGGGATGGCGTGCACAAGGCGTGCAGGAATCGGCTCAGGTCGGAGGTGCGCGACCTTGCGTACGTTGCGCGTTGTGCACAACTTCCACAAGGGTGCAGCTGACGCGGGGCCTAGTGTGGTGGGAAGGAGGGGTATGGTGGTGGAGGGGAACATTCCCCCCCTTCCCCTCCCCGAGGGGTACAAGTTGGAGGAGGATGGGGAGGTAGAGGCAGACGAGGACGATGTGTGCCTCGATGAGAGGGAGGGGCAAGAGGAGGAGGAAGAGGAGGAGGAGGAAGGGGAGGAGGAAGGGGAGGAGGAGGAGGAAGGGGAGGAGGGGGAGGAGGAGGAGGAGGAGGAGGAGGAGGAGGAGGAGGAGGAGGAGGAGGAGGAGGAGGAAGAAGAGGAAGAGGAGGAGAGCTAGGAGGCTTAGTGATTGCGGAGATGTAATAGTAGTAATTTCCTTCAAGTTTACTACTACTTGAGAGACATGGAAACCTAACTACGTATGATGAGATGTGAAGATTTTTGTGAAATACAAGAATGGGGAAAAAGTTATGGAACAGGGAAAAATTGACCCCATTGTGACATACGTGTAAGTCCCCCACCCTCCCCATGCCCTATAGATTTTTTTGGTCTGCCCGATTTGTTTAGAGCCTGCCCGGGCTTTCGTCTAATACTGCGTCTAATCTGGACTCATCTAGCATCTAGCGTCTTAGATGCTGCGTCTAGACGGACGCGTCTAAGACGCTAGACGCGTCTTCCGCAACTAAGTTTGGCCGGCCTGGCCTGGGCTGGCCCAGTGCAGGCGCACCAGCATGTCCGGCCCGCCCTGGCTGGGCGTGGGGCGACCTGTGCTCATCCCCAGTCCGAAAGCCCAATATTGTAACTTCCTTTTAATGCCATCACAGAACCTATTTGTTTATGTTCGTAGGCTAAACCCATGTGTTAGTGTTGCCTGATCCATCTTATCATCCCCTTCCCTCCATCTCCTCCCATTTTCTTTGCATGGCTCACAGTGGAAGAAGTTAATGCAACAGAACTCCAAACTAATGCTCCTCTCAGGTTTCTACCATCTCCATGCATGTAGGCACAGGCCTTATCGTCTCAAACCACCTTGATGGATTCAACAATCTCTCCTTTTATTTCCTCCTCAAACTTATAATGTTCCCCACCCGTTCCATTCCACCGCCCATTAGCAATCTATATAACGCACTCTTAACCGGATCTATTGCGGATTCCATCAGTGCCTTGGACAGGCTCACCTATCTGTGAGTATGAGTTGTTGGAGCATGCACATATGAGTATGAGCAAGTAGAGATGGGCATGTGCAAAGATGAGCATGAGCAATGGCCTACATTGTGATGAGCCGGGGGTCACCAGCATCTTACGGTGGCTAGCCAGTGGCTTTCTTGTCACGGGCCAAGGAATGGCCTTTCTGTAGACAAACAAACCTATGTGCACAATGTGCACAAGGAGAAGCTGGTTCAAAAGTGTTGAAAATGTTCTACAAACAGAAAGTTAAGTGAAGTGATGAATACAAGCAATCAAAAGCTAAAACAGGCAGAAAATGAAGAGAGCTAGCTTGGAGGCGACTTGGGCTAGTCCTGGTGAGGAATTTGGTACACAAGAGACTTGAGGTGGCCAAATAGGTGCTCAAGTCGCCCACAGTCAAGATGGGGACGAGAGCGACCCTCAAAGTGGGTCTGGAAGCGCCCTTTTAAGTGGAACCGCAATTCCACGAATCGGAAATGCGAATTCCAAGCTGGAGCTGCGTTCCAATGTTGGAATTTGTGGGTCCAGACTGGAGCCGCGTCCCCAAGGTTGAGAAACGTGTTGAGGTGCCCCAAAGCCGAATTTGGGGTGCTTAGTACTTGATAAAGTCACTCAGGTGGCACCGTATAACTAATATAAACCAACCCCTATTTTTTACACTTTTGTGATGTAAACAAACAATTACAAACCATAAATAGACCAATAAACAAATCCTCCAGCAAATTTAAAGTAAAATAATACCCAACAACACCCCCCCTTAGGGTGACACCAAGGGAGAGGTCAAAAGAGAAGTACCAGGGCGCAGGCCGATGCATGACTGGAGACACTGAAGCGTGTCAGGAGGGAGAGGCTTGGTCCCCATATGAGCAAGGTTATCACGGGTAGGGATGGAATGTATGTTGGTGCAACCCTACGGTTTGCACTCGGCTTGTTGTCTGTGTGCGTGCATGCGTGTGTGCATGGAGTGGTATGAGGGCATGAGATAACATATATTTCATGCTTACAATAGAGTGTGAATGTTGAGTCATGATGTCTATTATTTGCGTCGAGTGAATAGCGAGTCATCGCTAGTCGTGTGTCTAGGTCGTCGTTTGTGTGTCCCGCGCGGTTTCTATTTTGTCGTTTGTGTGTGTCGCGCGATTTCTATTTTATCAGTGGGGGGAAGACAGAGAGAGCAGAGGAAAGTGCGGAGCCAAAGGGCTTCGTGGATTACCGCACCAAGCGCATAGTATTCAGCTTCACAAGAGGACGTCGCAACGACACATTGCCGCTTGGATTGCAACAAAATCAAAGAAGGGCCGAGAAAGAACAGGTAAGTTGTGAGGGTATGACAATCCTCACTTTCGGAAGCCCATGAGGCATCACAATACTTGATTGCGAGTTTGGGAAAATTTCTTGTTGAGAAGGGCCCACAACCTGGCAATAGTTGAAGTAGGGATGAGCAATATGACGAACACCTGTTCGGTTCGCCTCGAACACGTTCGAGGCGAACCGAACAAGATTTTTTTTTGGCCTAAATTGTTCGGGGCGAACGTGTTCGGTGTTCGCCCGAACACGTTCGCCGTTCGCCCGGCTCAGCTGGCCGAGGCGCGACGAACACGAACGTGTTCGTAATCGACACGGGCCTTCGACGAACGCCAATGTGTTCATCGACGAATAGGCCCGCGACCAATTTTTAGGGCGCGGGCCTTGGTGTATGGGCTCAGATCAAGGCCTTTTGCCGCAGCTTAAGTGCGGATCAAGGCATTTCGCCGTTGCTTAAGCTCAGATCTAGCATTTCGCCGTTGCTTAAGCGTAGATCTAGCATTTTGCCGTTGCTTAAGCGTAGATCTAGCATTTCGCCATTGCTTAAGCGTAGATCTAGCATTTCGCTGTTGCTTAATTGCGGATCAAGCATTTCGCCGTTGCTTAAGCTCAGATCTAGCATTTCGCCGTTGCTTAAGCTCAGATCTAGCATTTCGCCGTTGCTTAAGCGTAGATCTAGCATGGGCGGTTCTAGCAGGGCGGGACTGGCTTGCAGGGTGGGGGGAGGGAATGTGAAACATTTGGATTTCACTCTACCTGGATCTGAGAAGGTCCTTTAAGGCGAACGCGAACATGTTCTGGGCGAACGTGTTAGTGTTCGCCAAAACGTACGAAATGTTCGCCTCTCTTGGCGAACTTCGAACACCCTTTCTGGTGTAAGGTGTTCGGCGAACCGAACAGTGTTCGGTTCGCCAAACAGCCATGTTCGAGCCCAGGCGAACACGAACATATTCGTGTTCGCCATTTGCTCATCCCTAAGTTGAAGGCTAATCGTTGTGGGAAAATTTCTTTAGTCTTTCAGACTTATACCATTTCCTTGCTAAGGATATTTCTTCTTTCTATCGTGCCCTAAGTTCACCGATCCATTTTCTTCATAGTATCAGAGCTAGGCTTCTAGCTTTGTGAACGTCGCACACTTGGTGGCTCAAGTTGAGACGCCTCTTGGTCGGCACACCCTTCCTCCTTGGAGATCTCATCACTACACGGATGGACCCATCCATGAGTCTTCGCTCCTACTTCGATCAAGTTGGAAATCTCACGCACCAACTCAAATCTGCCGTCTACGAGGTACCATCTTGGGTGGTGGTAATCTCCATCATTGTGAATCTGCCGGACTCTTTCAAGACTCACACAGAAACTAATTGCACCGTGAAAGTATTAAGTCTATGGCGGTTGAATTTCTGCAGTCACGTCTACTCGATGCCGATTGGGAGCGGTCAGAATCTGGTACAAGCCGCAACATGGAAGCTGCATACAACCTCCATTCCGAGCCCTCCCACCCTATTCGCTCCGCTTCCCGCCAGTCCCCTACTTGCCATTACTGCAAGAAAACCGGCCACACCATTGGCGAATGCTTCAAGTTGAAGAAGAAGAAAGAGCTCGAAGAAAGCTCTCGACGGGAGAAATCTGTCATCCAGCCTTCGGTGCATGTGTCAACAAGCTCCTCCGTTGACATTGCTTTCAGCACCGATGGTGCCTTGGAGTTCAATTCCGACCCCTTCACTTCATTCCTTAAAGCTCATGGCATCGCTCGACACCACTCTACGCCGTAGACACCCGAGCAAAATGGAGTTGCTGAACGCGCCAATCGGACTATACCTGAGATGGTCCGTTCCATGCTTCATGACGCACACATGGACATAGGATGGTGGGGTGGAGCCGCTCTCACTGATGCCTATCTACGTAATCATGCCATTAGTCGGGGTGGTTCAACTTCTAAGACTCCCATAGAACTATGGACCAGTGCACGTACGGACGTATCACACCTCCGCATCTTCGATTCACCTGTTTCAGTCCTCATTCCTCCGGAACGGCGCTCTAATCTTGACGACCGAAGTACGGCCGGCATCATGGTTGGGTATGGTCATCTTGACGGCACCAAAGCTTATCGCATCTATATCCTATCTCAGCAGCGTGTCATACTTTCTTGTGATGTCATCTTCATGGAGCCCTCTTCGCCACCTTCCGATGACCCTCGAGAACCTCCATCGTCATCTCCACCACCCATATCATCCTCTCGCCTCCTCCTCCACCCCCTTCCCTCTTAGCCCCAACCCCCCCTCCCTCTCCTTCATCTCCCATGCCCTCTTCCACCACCCTCCTCCCGCCATCTCCAAATCTTCCCGCACCAGCTACCTCTTCTCCTCCTTTGTTTTCCAACCTTCCTCTGCCCTCGACGCCGCAAGACTTCCGTCTTCCATCCCTCTCCTCTCCTCCAGCTCGTCCTCCCCCTTGCACCTCTAGTTCCTCACCACCATCCCCTTCCTCCCAATCCTTCATTTTTCTCACTGCTTAAGGTCTTACCCTCTCCTTCTGAACCCATTGACTTCACCCTTCCTCCTCTTTCCAAGACCTCCGCTAATGCCGCTCTTCATCACCATTACGAACCTCAAAACATTCAGGATGCCCGCACTGGCCCTCATGCTGCTAAATGGATCAAGGCTCCTGATGCGGAACTCGCTACCCTGCATGCTAATGACACTTACAGCGTTGTTCCTCGACCACCCAAGTGCAAGCTAATGGTTCTATTGAACGCCGCAAAGCCCGCCTTCTTGTCAAAGGTTTCAAACAGCACGACGGTGTTGATTTCCATGACACCTTTGCTCCTATCGTCCGCTTCGCCAC